ATGAGCTAATTAAAATACAGTTTGCAGTGCTGATGATGTCAGCCTCAGATCCTTTAGACTCCAACTTGACAGTTCATGAAGGTCTTGTCTGAACGAATACCAGTATATTTGAAAATGTATATGTCCCTCCGTGTTTTGACCTCTCGTCCACACGCAAACAGAATCACTAAAATCTAAAATGAGATTCATGAAAAATATAGAAATATATATATATAAAAAAAAAAAAAAAATGATCTACTATTGTTTGTGTTTTTACAGTTTAAGTTACTACCGCCACAGTAAGACAAGCTCACTAGAAATGCTCAGAGTGTTCCTCCTATAGATATATAAACATGCTGCTGAATGCCACCGCTGTATGTCTGAGCTCACTTGCATCTTGACCGCCACAATATGGCGACTGCGAAGACGCAAGTCAAGAAAGCGGTATCTATGTTTCTATATCTATGGTTCCTCCTCTCTGGTGTTTGACGTACTGTTGATTGAGACTTTATTGCCACCTACTGGCCCGGCATGCTGGTTTAAGTGTTCAGAATCGTTTTTGCACACTCGTGTGGACAAAGATATTTTGTAAAACAAAGATGGTGTGGAAAGATTATTTATTTTTTTACATGAAGGGGGGGAAATATTTGTTTTTACTCCTTGTGGAGATGGAAGATAAGATTCTTATAATGACTGTAGTCCAACTGACCGTAACACGTCCTCCATAGCCCAACATCTGGAGGTCTTTACTGAGGTTAACATTTGACAGCATCTCCACTATCACATCTATGCCTCTGCCCTCTGTGGCTTCCTGGAACAGACAAATACACACACATTAACACAGAGTCCATATCTCTGTAAGCACCACTAAAACCCCTGACAGAATACAAATACGCTTCCCCTCCAGAAATAAGATTATTAAATGTTTAAATTCTTAGAGAGCGTCATTCAGGACTACTTCCTTTCTCTCTGGTGTTCCTGCAGGGTGTGTGTGTGTGTGTGTGTGTGTGCATACCATGATTTTGTCTGTGTAGCCCTCTTCTCTGTGATTAAAGGCCAGATGAGCTCCGTTGTTGAGAACCAGCTTCATCCCCTCTGGTGTTCCTGCTGTCCCTAACACCCTGAGCCCCAGAGCACGGGACAACTGGCACGCCGCCACACCGACCTGAACATACAGACACACGTGGTGCAAATGTGGAAAACATTTAAAATTAAAAAAAAAAAATGTCATTACAAGGGAAAGACAAAAAAAAAGGAAAAAGCATACCCCTCCACTGGCTCCATGGATGAGGGCGGTCTCTCCAGGCTTGGCGTGGGCTCTGCAACATACACAAGTTAAAACACATTTTGGTCATAACATCAGCGAAGAAGATGATGCAGTCTCTGAGCTCGATCCAGACCTGTGACACCACCAGTCAGTGGTTCTTGAATAAAGTTAGATAAACTGATGCAGTGGCAAGGTCTTACTTGTGAACCAGAGCTCTGTAGGCAGTGAAGTATGGGATGCCTATGGCCGCACCCTGGGTGAAGTCTAAAGCGTCGGGCAGCTTGTGGACACAGTCGTCAGCTGCTACAGCGTACTCTGTGTAACCTCCACTGACTGTGGCTGTGGTGAACACACGGTCTCCTGCCTGGAAAACACACATGATTTACTGCACAACATGACAGCAGCCTCCCACTGGTTGACTTAACAAGGTAAATGCTACCGATCACACGGTTCTCTCACCAACCTGTTATCACTGTCCCCATCTCTGGTTTAAAGTGTTCAGCCTGTGTTTTCACTGAATTTAAAAAAATGTCAGTACTCTAGTGGCAACAACTGCAGGACAACCAGTTTTACATGTGCTAGTAGGCCTGTTTATTATAGATCAGAGGTTTTCAAACTGCGGCGTCCCTGTATCATATGACACACTTTTTTTTAGATTCTCTGTGACATCATTGCCTCCAATGTCCATCGCAATTAAACGTCCATAAAATGTTTTTCCTTATAACTCTACAACGTGCCTAAGAATCCTCACATTTTTAGGTTTTCTTCAGTATCAAAGTACACTGCAAACAGGATAGCTGGAGGTAAGAAAATATCAATACACACTGTACACATCATATGGATTCTCAAAATCACTATTGACTTTCGTGTTTAAACCCCCAACCGCTAGATAGCAGCGTTGTAAATGTAAATTGAGGACTATGTTGTTTTTATCCATATGGTGGCGTGTGACCATTTTTGTTAAATACCTTATGGCCTTGCTTACAGAAGCTGAATAGCGGACGAGATGTGGGAGGATCGCTTATACAAAGTACCTGTGAGTTCAGAGGGGCAGTGTGAGGCTTGTGTGTTGCAGTCGCCATCCTGTGGTGTTCAGAGGATGAACCACTGAAGGACTACACTCAGTGTTGTGAGATATATTTATGAGATATTCAGCTAGATTTTGTTTTCATTCAGTTTATTTCAGTACATTCATGTAGAACGGTGAACAGACACTTTCACTGGGTCTACTTAATAAGTGTCCTATCAGGAATTATTGGACACCCAGCAGCCAATCAGAATCACCCAGAGCATGTTATAATGCAATATATTGAATTATACACACTCTCCATGAGTTCTCTTCAGTCAGGGAGGAGTTGTGGTAAAGCGATCTGAACGCAAACTAACGAATATTTTTGACTTAATATCTTGAGTTCGGCTTATATTATTTATAAGACTAAATATATTTTTGTTAGAATCATACTCCTCGCCCCTGAACAGTTTTTACAGAGTGTCTGCACTCTCACAATACATCAGCATGATTCTTGTGTAAGCTGGTAAAGATCAGTGTGGATCAGTTTGTACTTTGCCACATCTAGCTGTGTTAACTTCCTCCTCTTAGCTTGTTTTGTAATCAGTGACTGAGGGCACAGTACCTGCAGACAGTATTCAGTCCATCAGGCCGGCTCTAGCAGGGCTTACAATTAACGTTT